TGTGGCATTTACCCATTTTTTCCGACCTTTGGAAAGAATGGTATCGGTACGAGACGCTTTACATATTGGGCTTTTGGTGTCGCAAAATCAGGTGGGCTGAGATAGGGCTGTTTTCGGGTCTGTTTGTTACCATGTTTTTGTGTCCATTGACACTGAGATTCCATGCATCCACAAAAGTCCGAAACATATGAAACCAAGAGAAAACGTTGACTTCTTGTTGTGTTTCCTTGTCCATGAATTGTAGTGAAAAAACATTTTGACTTTGGTGCTGTTCTTCATGCGATGGATGGATGGGTGATATAGAATAAATATGATTGTGAGTATATATATAAACTAGCTTATTACCCGGTTCGTTGGCCGGATTACTGTATGTTACCCACTTGTGGAATGGGAGAGAAAGCAAGTGAGAGTGAAGGGATTGAGATTCCACTTGATTAGGATCGACCCACTAATCCGATTCTTCCCGACCCGCCCCAACCTAAAGGGTCAGAAAGAGTCAATAAGAAAATACGAACGGAGAGGATTAGTCATATATCTTGACTCTTCAGAAGTGGGTCAAACAGGATCAAGGTTGGGTGGGGGCAATTTTTAGCGCTAAGTAGAGTTATGTGTTGAATAACTTTACTTAGGCTTAGAGATTGGTGCTGATGCAGACTGCAGTTTTTATTATACCATCATCAATCATCATTGAATTAGTCCTGGGCATCCCTCCCCGTTGCCGGTCTGAATTCTAATGATGGCTTCATTCCTTGCACCAGCCATATCATCGAGTTGTCATCTCGAGCATGATTTGCCTATGTACAAATGATACAATTAGAGTATGAAACTGAATTCAAAGAAAAGGAAAAGAGAATTCTATCACATGCCAATAAATACACACATAATAGTTGAAGCTAAGTGAAAGTCATTAGTCGCACATCAATTCTAAAAAATTACATACTAAACAATGGCTAGAATGGGCACTGAAACTACCAAGAATCATGGATGAAACAACTTGTCAAATTAAATAATCCTTATACTCAAACTACCTTCTAACTTGAAATAAGACATGATCACAGTTCATAGCTCTCTTCTCACTATGAATTGGTTGCAGCTCGTCCTTATCACTGCCTCCCAAGCTCAATTCAAACATAATGGAGACTGTTATGTAAGATAACCATATCCTTATTGATCATAATTCCTTTCTTCACTCCATTTTTGTCTGAGAAAAGAGTTATCCCCCTCTTCTGCATTTCCCTTTCCCCCTCTCTTCTCCCTCTTCTTCACAAACCGATCCCTAAACCAGCAACAACAACACAAAAATAGCCTTCGCCTCTGTCATCTCCATCTACTGAACGCGTTGGTGGCAAGACAGGACTGCAGAAGAAAATTTTTCTAAAATCAAACTAAATTTTTTGAAGGAGACTCAACCACGAAAAAAGAGTAAAGCAACAATGCTAATAGTTCAGATGGTTGGTTTTGACGTTATACGTTGCTTTTATTCTGGTCTCCAGTATATTAACTGCAACAGAGATGTTTCCTCCAATCATCTTTAGTGCACGATTTAGAAGCAAGTCCTCCTGTTTGTGTCAAACTGAAACATTCATGGGTTCTTAACTCCCTTGTTAGTGTAAATGCAGCAGCAACAAAGAAGTTTGACAACACAGCAAGCACCCAGGCAAAATGATACAATGCAGTAGGTGATATGTGTCTCGAAGGTTTTGAGTTACTAAAGTTCATAAAGCTCTTGTTAAAAATAAACATGAATTAAAATGGATTATTCTATTGAGCAAACATCCCCTCTAATCATACAAAGATCAGATATCTAATTCACAAACAATTAAGCGATAAAAAATCATCACACATCCACCACCTTTGATTGCCTAAATTTGGTTTTTGGCAAAATTATGGACTCTTAAGGGTAACGTTCATGGGTAGTCTGTTTCATAACTCTAGAGAGCACAGTAAGCAGCCACCAGCCAGACATAGTGCGGTAGGCGAATATGATTTTCAATTCACAATTTCTCACCACCGGAAGTAAGAACATACCATAATAAGCGTAGCGTTCATGGGTGGTCTGTTTCATAGCACTACTACACAATTTGTTAAAAAGGAAAGAAAGGTATTTAGCATCACGACGGAACAACTTTTACAGGCCAACAACGACAACATGCTGCAACCACCAGAACTGGTATCACAACTCATAGGGAAAATCAAAAGATTTACTCTCAAATTAAGTAGTTACAACATCGAGCAATCGTCAAGCACATACACCATCACAAAAGTCACGGAACCTGATTCGCAAAGCATTCAAACATTTGAGGACATTTCTGTAAAGGTACAACTTATATGTCTTTTTTTCAAGCCATTTCCATCAACATGCTAATAAATTTGCAATGCATAAAACAAACGGGCCAAAACTTGAAATTCAGCCTGTTTGACCGACCATGCCAAATCCTAATTATTATTTAATTTTAAACTTTCTATTTGAAAATAAAAAATAGTGAAATAAAAGAGATGACTGCAATTCGCCATTTGCACATCACTTATTCGGGAATAAAACCATAGAAATTCAAAAGGAACTGAAAATGTTTAGGATCATTTTAATGTTTAAAATAACCAAATAGATCTTTCTGTTTAGTTTTTTACTAACAAATATCAAACAATTCCCTATAAAATACACTATAATTTGATCATTATGATATCAAATAATTATATAATATATATTTGAGATGATAAAAATTGGACTAATTGGGTTGGTCGAGGTTGAACCATTAAATAACTTTAAAATACATTATATTTTAGCCACTAAGATATAAAATAATAGCATAATATATATTATGCCAGAGAAAATAGTTTGTTTTAGAATGACAAACCAATGATGTTCATTTGTTTTACTTGATGGCCAAATCCCGTGTAGGTCAGACCCATTCAACTCTTTTATTTTATGGTTAGCGATTAGCCATTAGATACCATTCATTAGTTTATTGTTAAATTTTTTATTTTTAACAATAAAAAGGAGTATTATTTTTGCCTTTTCATATATATTTTATCACCACGGAGAAATAAAAGGGCTTAAAGAAAAAAATTGACACTCTTGGACCCGTTTAAATCCGCATGTGTACGGTAAGTTGGCCCGTTCCACAGAGGAAAGAGAAAAAATTAACATTCTCTATTCTACCCTTCCTACAAACGCTCCTGGAGCAGGGAATTTGAAATGGGGGAAGAGTTTTTTCCTCCCTGCTATTATATGTTTTTAATTTAAAAAGATACAACAAATGTACTTAGTGTGATTGGTTATGATCCTTGCTTTTCTATAAAATGGTCATGGTTTGAATCCCAGTACGTGTCTTTTTAATTAATAAAAAAAGTTATTGTGAAGACCAAAATGTCCTTCCTATTTTCACTCTCGTTGCAGGAAATTTGAAATGGGGAAGCTATTTTCCCCTTCGTTTGACATATGATATACATTTTTGTTCATTTTTATTGAGGGTCAGACTGGCGTACGTCAGGCGTATATTATACGTCTGGTACTACTAGTGAGATATCTCTATCTAGACCATGAATTAAATCAAGTTTGGGGTATGATACTATACCCTAACCTCTAATGGATAAACCCCAGGCACCGATTTTCTAAACCCCACCTCGAAGTTTGATTTAATGAAAAACAAAAATTGACCGTTGAGATCGGCCGGAGCTCATCTAAGTACATCTAACGACTAGATCACCTGACGTATAGTATATGCCTGACGTACACCAGTCATTACCTTTTTATTGAATGTATTTTGATATATTCTGATCTATAAGAATCGTTGGTTATAAATAAATTTCAGATATAATCAATTTTATGGTTTGGGTAAGAAAATTTAAGATTTGGGTTCACCTATTAAAAGTCAAGGTATTTTAACATGTCCAAACTTCGATTAATTCATGATTTAGAAAGTAAAACTCAACGAGGAGGCTGCTTTTAACCATATATGTGATAAAATTATAAGTAGAGAGAGATGGGAAGGTCCAAATTGCAAGCTAACAAAAGTTTTACTTATGGGAGTGCTAAATTTGTGAAGTGAATAATATACATATAATTATTGGGAGTTTTTTTGGAAGTTTATATTCTGTCTCCACTTGGGGAGAAGAAGAAAGCTTTGGAGTTTGCTAGGTCAAACTCTCGATGAGGTCCAATTAACTCTTTTGTCCTCTATACTCAATTAGTGTCTTTGTTTATTGGATTATTATTCTAACCTAAAAGGGGGTTTTGATGCCTAAAGGGTTTGGGTAAGCTTGGAGAACAACACCCGAAATAACAAATGACCAAATGTGAAATGCAAATTTTGTTATAGGGTGTTGGTACTTGGTAGCCAGCCTCGGAGTTATGAGTTGAAATTAGGTATTTTTTTTATTTTTTTTGGAAAAATATATATAAAAAATAAATATTTAATCATATAGTAAGAAGTAAGTTTTATTGCAGTGAAAAAAATATAGTTTTGTCATTTCTGCCTCCTTCCCGATCATCTGACGGGTAATAATGTCATTTTCGGTTGTTGTTGGTGGCTTCTTTATGATTCTATAGAGTTTGAGAAGGTGTTGTTTGGATCTCCATGATACAATGCATCTTGCCCTCGACTCGCTAGACCTTGTTTAGCTCTGAGCATTTTGGTTTCAGTATATGCCCACCACCAAGTCATCACGATCCTAAGATTCACCGTGATGGGTCATCTTCAAGAACCCCAGGTGGAGGCTTATGACGTTTCATGTTCAATCACCATGGTCTTATCTTTGTCAGGCGATCTGAAGCCTTACTTTGTGATGCTATAACTGAGAGAAACTGGGAGAGCTAGTGATTTCACTTTGTTTTGCTTCTGTAATGGTTTCTCCTTGTTGGGTTTGATCAATCTATTTCTTATTTGTTGTTGTTTTTAACTTTTCAGTATAAATTGCTCTACCACATGTAACAGATTGAACGAAATAACCTTTTACTGGAGTCTAAATTTAATATATAAATTTTAAGGCAAAATACACTTGTATAGCCAAAACTTTCGCGATTTTGCCAATAATAGCCAAATTTGGAGAAATACCACTTATAGCCACTTCCGTCCAATTCTTTAACGGTGTCATCTAACAAGCTGACTGGACTAACAGAAATGCTGACATGGCTACGTTTCGTCAGTAACATTGCCACGTGGATTTAACTTAAAAAAAATACAAAATACAAAGAACAAGAAAAAGAAAAAGAAATAAAAAAATAAAAAATATATTTTCACTTTCGCCTCTCTCTTCTTTCCTCTTTCGTTTCCCCCGCCGCCGCTCTGTTCGACCGATCTTCTTCTTCAGCTTTCCGGTAACTCCTCCCCCTTCTCTCTCTCTCTCTCTCTCTCTCTCTCTCTCTCTCTCTATCTCCAGACCCCGCTCTCTCTACTGCAACTGAGTCCACAGCTCCTTCCCCGCGCGCAGAAGAGCAATCCGATCCCTAGGGATCCCTCTCTCCGTCCTTAACGACCACCACAAGCTCGAGCAGATCCATCATAATGTCATTTGAATCGGAGGATCCGAATCTGCAATCCATCCCAATTCCAAAACACAGACGAGAACCCAGGTCGAGAAATTACACTACATGGAGTGGGTAGGAGAGGAAATTAGGTCAAAATTGAAAATTCGAGTACTTTTGGGGGAAGAAAACAGAGCGACAATTAATACGAGAAACTAAGAATGGAGGGAGGAATGAAACCCCAAAGGTGGAAATTGGAAATTTGTTCTATCTGAAAACTTAATCGAAGCAACAAAATGGGCTTGAGAGCTGGGAACATGGGTGACGAGCAGCGAAAAAGGTGAAACAAGAAGATGAAGAAAAACAGCCATTAGAGTATAACAGAGAGGAAGACGGGACGGTGGTGGTTGCCGGTGTTGGTTTGGTGATTCCATCAGCAACGTCATGCTTTGCGCTTTCTATTTGTCATTTCGGAGAGGAAGACGAGACGGGTTTCAGCGTTGGACTCGGTGGCCAGGTGGGTTGACTGTTGCTACCGGAGCTGGGAAACACGACGGAGACCTAGGATTCTACCCAGCGGTTCCACCCAATAGAAGAGGAGATGAAGGTGGGAAGACGGAGAGAAGGGTAACGAAGTCGATTCTTCTTCTCCATGATTTTTTGGTGGATGAATCTGGGCTTGGGGGTTGGTGTGTTCTGGAGGGAGGAGAGTTCGTGGAGATGGAGAAGAGTAGGTGCCGGATGCGAGAGAAGTTTCCGGCGACGGTGACGCTGGGTTCTTAGATTGGATGCGAGAGGTAATGATTTTTTTGTTATAAAATATTTTTGTTTTTAAAAATTAATTAAATATTTATAAGTAAAAGATTAATTAAATATTTATATATGTAATATATAAGTTTTTATTTTTAATAATGTAATATATGACGTGTCAAGATGACGTGTCAAGACTTGCTTAGTTGGCGCTGACGTGTTCGAGTTCTTCTCGCCTAATCAGCAAACCGTCTACTTATTTGACGGTGTCAGTAACGCCGTCAATGTTTCTAACGGAAAAGGCTATATTTGTCCAACAACATTTTCAAAAGGTGGCTATAAGTGGTATTTCGCCAAATGTGGCTATTATTGGCACCAACGTGAAAGTTTTGGCTATGGAACTGTATTTTGCCAAATTTTAACAACATAAAACGAATGATTACAATATCAACAATTCAACACAATATATTGTACCACTTAACTTTTTCCACACAACAATTCGATTTTACACTTGTTAATTTTCTATTTTTATTTTCCCTATAAAAATCCCTCTCCCTCTCCGTATAAAAAGTCGCTCCACTCTCCACAAAAGGAGACAAGCGTGAAAACTCAAAGCCCCCAACTCTTCCCCCTTTCCTTCTTCTTCTCTTCTCCTTTATCTTCTCCATTACCCAGAAAACACAGACATCATTCCTTCCTACACAACAATGGCGAATCCCACCTTCACTTTCCTCTCCTTTCCATAATGACCTCTGCACACGATTACCCCCACTTCCCTCCTTCTTTTGCCATGAAGACGATGCAAACGCTTCGATTCCCCAATCTCCACAACTCCGACGATGACCACGACCAAACAACCATTTCCTCTTCATCTCCTCTCGACGAACTCTACTGTGAGGAAGAGAGGTGGGATTGCGAAGACGACGATGGGGAGGTTCTGGATTGCCTCGACGTCGCCGGCGGTGCCCATTGCCTTTCTCCGATTCTGTTGCTGGAGCAGGACTTGTTCTGGGAAGACGAAGAGCTCGTTTCCCTCTTCGCCGAGGAGAAGCGATGGAAGGGAGCAATTGGGGTAAAGGAAACTTGCCCTGCTCGTCGGCGAGCTGTGGACTGGATGGTTAATGTCAGCACCCACTACGGGTTTTCCACTCTTACTTCTGTGCTAGCTATCAATTACCTTGATCGGTTCCTTTCGACGCCACGTTACCAGAAGGATAAGCCATGGATGATCCAGCTCGTCGCCGTGACTTGCCTCTCTCTGGCTGCTAAAGTCGAGGAAACCGACGTCCCGCTCTTGCTTGACCTCCAGGTGCTCGATGAAATGCCGCACAGAAGATAGAACTCTTGATTTTTCCTACACAATCGTCGGGATTTGGTTGTAATGTCTCCCTTTCCCCATGTTCCTTCGTGGGTTGTTTTTTCAGGTCGAGGAGACGAAATATGTATTCGAGGCGAAGACGATTCAGAGGATGGAGCTGCTAGTGCTGTCTGCCCTTGGCTGGAAGATGCACCCGGTGACTCCGATCTCGTTTGTGGATCACATTGTGCGGAGGCTTGGCCTGAAGAGCAATGTTCACTGGGAGTTTCTCAACCGATGTCACCGTCTCCTTCTCTGCCTAGTCTCCGGTAAGTTGGTAGCTCTAAAAGCTCTGTATGTTATGCAACAAAAAAGGAGACGACTTTTTGATTGTTTGTTTGTTTCCCCCCTGTCTTGACCATTGCTGCTTTCCTGGGGATGTTTCTTTCGGTTTTGGGTTTGTAGATTCAAGATCTGTCAGATATAAGGCATCAGTTCTGGCAACTGCAACCATGATGCACGTTATTGACCAAGTCGAGCACTTTAACCCCATTGACTATCAGACTCAGCTGCTTGCTGTCCTGAACATCAGCAAGGTATACCCCTCTCACCTTTTGTAGAACAAAATCATTTGTATTTATTCATTTGCAAGTTTGAAAAGAAAATGCCGGTCAAATATTGGTCTGCAAAAGCTTGCACAAAACTGGGATCCAGGAAGCTGTTTGTGTTTTTGTACTATTGTCTCGGGTGTGTAAGCAAGTAAAGGACACAAGGTGGGGGGAACATAATCATGTATTATATTGCCTTCTTTGAACAGGATATAGTTATTAGTTAATGCCTTTCGTTCATTATTTTGTTGATATAATAATTAGTCCATGATGATTAAGCTAAAGTACTGATGTGGTCTCGTTGTGTTGTCCATGGGGCAGGAAGATGTGAAGGAGTGTTATGAGGTGATAATGGAGGTGGCAAAGGGCAATGGCGTTGGGAAGAAGAGAAAGTACTATTGCCATTATGAAGAAGAAGGAGGGGTGGTGTTTCCGAGCAGTCCTAGTGGCGTGATTGATGCAGAAGCTTTTCTGAGCTGTGACAGCTCAAACGATTCTTGGGGTTTGGGAAGTCTAATGCCAAAAGCAAAAGGGAAAGGGTCATTTTCATCCTCTTCTTCTTCCTCGGTCTATTCATCTCCTCCACCACCACCATTGGAGGCAGAGCAGCAGCCACTGCAGAAGAAGAGCAGAACCCAAGATGACGACCAATGGGTCTTTGTGGGTTTCGTTGGGAGCCCCAATTAGAACCAGAGGAAGGTGAAAGAGTCCTCAATCAATCAAGCAGAGCCCTCTTGTTTGGTCTCGTCAACTCCCCAACAGGCTGAGAAGAAGATTAGGTTTTGCGCCATCTGGCCGAGCCCTGGTGATAAGATTAGAATTTGAAGGGTTCCACTGGGGCATGGCGAGAGGCATTTTGTGGGAAAAAGAGGGGGAAGAAGGAAAGGCAAGGAAGATCATTGTTCATCAATGGTGGATGATGATGCGATCTTTATGTTTAATTCTTATTCATAATAATTTCTTTTGTAATCTCCATGTGGTAACGTTTCTCTTAAGTTGGGAAGCATACCCTTTGACGTGGACAAAGTATATGTGAGAATTGGGATGTCATATAATCCAAGTATTCATAATGATTCAAATAATTTGAGGGAAAAACCAAAATTTTTGTAGCATGTTTAATCAGTTAGTTTTATTATATGTATAATGTATGTTACAATGCAATCGAAATTGTGATTCTAAACATAAATTTTTAAATTTTAAAACGCAATTTTGAGTTTACGTTGTTATTATGTTAGTTATGTGGGGCTTAGTTCACTTGACGACGAATTCACAAAGCACAATTAATCTTGTGATGCTGTTGCCTTTATTTCACGTGTAATCTAATGCACTGGAATTGTTTGTATTAAAAGAAAATGCATCCCCAATTATATATTGGAACACTTGTTAAAAAAAAATCTAAACTAGTGCATGCCAGCCACCTTTGTTGGAAGACTACTATTTTTGGCACCAATGATGTTCAGGTTGTGTCAGTTAATTCTTTTTATGTGTAATAGAATATTAATTATCATAATTATTTGCTTCATTATTATTAATTTTATGGATGGAATCTGTTGGGGCACTTAAGGGTCCAAGAGGGAAGCCCAAAGGGGTCAGCAGATGGGAAGTTGGGGTCTACCAAGGGGAAGGCCCGATCTAAGAGGAGGCCCAGGACTGTAACTTGAGCAGTGGGTCCCAGCCTAGAGGGGGCGCATAGCAACAAGCAGGGGGCCAATGGTCAGGAGCTTACGGAAGGGACAAGAAGTGGGGTCGGACGCCCCAGGACCCGGGAGAGTGTGTCAGAGTGCCTGGCAGGGTAGAAGTATAGTGCATTTAATGGTATGATGACGTATGGTCAGGAGCGTACGGAGGGGACAAGAAGTGAGGTCGGGCGCCCCAGGACCCGGGAGAGTGTGTCAGAGTGCCTGGCAGGGTAGAAGTATAGTGCATTTAATGGTATGATGATGTATGGCGGATTTGGGGGGCAATGGTCGGCCCTACCCCGAGTATAAATAGCGAAGTGGCTGGAGCTCATTTACTTGGGTTGGAACTTCTCTCTAAAATTACACTTCACTTCTCTCTCTAGAAAGACTGTTCTAACTTGGGCGTCGGAGTGCTAACGAGCCCTAAGTAAGGGGCTCGGTGGGCGCCTTCGTGTGCAGGGACGAGGCGCGCGGTAGGAGCAAGCCAGGAAAGAAAGGAGCGCGTTGACAATCGAGGACGTCGGGTTAAGTGGCATAAACAGGATCTTGATTAGATATTGGTGGAAGCTTTGTTAAGCACTTGAGTGCAATTAAACCCCCAATTCTTCATTCATGTTCATGCATAAAAAGGGGACATATTTCAAGATAGTATTAATACTCAATAGAGCTAAGTAATCGCAAAAGGCTTAATGCTATAGATGTTGAATTTGAAAATGGAGATCTCTAGTTCAAATTTTACAATTGTCAATGTGGAGAAATATCACATATGACTATATGAGGTGTATGAGTAAGAGTGTGTATTTTGAATCACGTATCATGATGGTTAAATTGATAATCACGGTGAACATGATTTACCTTACTTCCAACGAATAGTAATTGACTTATTAATATTTAATATGAATCATGGTTCAAGAAGGCGTTAGGTGTAAGGTGGGTGTTGGGACTTGGGATATAGCCTAAACGTATGTCCCACCTAAGCGTGCCCAGGTGCTAGAAGCAAAAATAACAGTTTGTACTAAATGATCGATGAATAAAAACTTACAACACTTTCACACTTCAGTTCAGATAATTAATAACTTACTTAACAACGAGACAAATAACTAACAAAGTTCTTGGGACATTCAAAAGATTGAGAGAAAAAAAATAAGTTTGTAAATTATGTCGTCCCCCTTTGAGATATTGAAGCATCATAAATACCTAAGTCGCCACTAAATCTCTAGACGAGGTATTATGACTTTGCCTAACACCTAAAGGCACCTAATCATAAGCTTGATAGGCCTTTTTGAACTATGATATGAATAGTGTTCACAACTCACAAGCTTAACAAATCCATAAGAAAAGAGGACTTAACAAGATAGAGACAGAAAGAGTGTTTTGGATGTGTTTTTAGGGCTGGGGAAATTTAGACAAGTTTCTGAAAAATTGGGAAGGTTGAAAGGAGTTATATAGTGGGTAATGAGATGCATAAGTTTGGGAGACAAGATCTTTGGTATTAGGGGTGGGCATTCGGAATCGAACCGAAATAATGCATACCGAGTTTCTGAATTTCATCAAATCTCAAACCGAATTAGGACCAAATTATAATTCGGTTCTGTCGGTTCAAACCAAATTATAATTCGGTTTGGTTTTGTATGAAAAACCGAACTTGTGAGGTTAGCTTGTATTTTCTCTCTTTTAAATTATTTTTCACCCCTAATGTAAATAATAAATATGCAATTAAATGCATCATCAATGATAAAATCAAACATTTCAACACATAAGTCATAAAACACTAACATTATTCAAATATTTAAGTCTCATAATAAGTACAAACATAAAAATCCACCATTTGGAGTTTGCAATTATAATAATGCAAAAATTCGGTTCGTTCGAAAGGACATTGGCTTCCGAAATATACCCTTTTCCCTTATGAATTCCAAACCGAATTAATGTTATTCGGTTTTAGTTCGCTTTATACTCGGTTCGGTTTTACAGAACCGTATGCCCACCCTATTTGGTATATGAAGCCATGCCTTTCATTTTCCCTTTTTCTTCTTCTTTGTTATTTCTTTTTTGTTATTGAACGGACATCACATTGCAATGATATGTGTAAATTTGATAGCAAATGGAGGCAAGATTTATGATTGCTACATAGTACTAGCAAGAGAGCTCTCATGATTCAACAGCAAAAGAGAGAATAGGTAGAATAAGTATGGCTTTGAACTTTTTTCAAAGAAGAGTTAGCCTTTAGCTTTTAACATTCTCTCTATTTCTCTACTCTACCCTAGTAAAAGTCCAAGAATGCAAAGATGACTTGAGTATGTACCTACCTCCAATAATTGTAGAATAATAGGTGTTAACATACTCAAATTGCCATATAAGTATAACCCTTACAAAACAATTTCCTCCCATACATGGTCTTCCATCTCTTTTGTTCAAACTCCTAATCCAATATATTTCTATACCAATATCATCAGCACTTCAAATATAATTCCTAACCAAGAGTCACAAAGATAGAGTTAGGACTTACATTACACCTCTCATGCATAATTTCGTCCGTCAAATTCAATATCATTTATCCTCCTTCCTAATTAGCAGCGAGTTTTGAGAATGCTCGAGTAAATATGATAGTCATTCAAATCAACAGACAACAACAGAGAAGCTGGTGGGTTATTATCCCTCCTACACTCAACCTTTATAGTTTTTACTAGACAATGAACCGCGCCATGCTGTGGGTGACGGAAAACAGTGATATAGTTATTGTGTGTTTTTAATTCTCATTTTTTTCTCAAAGGTTGTATCAAAGTAAGTAATATAGTGTTTTGTATTGGAATCGTGGTTCAAGCGTCTCATACCGTTAAATCTACCTATCGGCTTAGACTCCGATAAAGTATTTTTAAAATGGATCGCCAATGCAATACGGTTTGACAAATCTTGTTTTTTTCCCTTCTGCATCGATTCTCGTTTTAAGTGATGTATTTTTTGGGTGCAATTTCTGATTATCGCTCATCATTGCTCTATTACTTTTATTTTATTTATCTATATGTTACTGTCTCAAGCAAAATCATATAAAAAAGTTGAAATAATATAATATGAATTTTATTGTAAAAAAATACAATAAGAATTCTTGCACTATCCATTAAAACTAAAGATTTTTTGTTATTAGTTTCTTTATGATTTCGAAACTCACTTGACTTTGCCCTTTTTATACTTATATCCCATGCGCTTAAGAGGCCTGATCAAAGAAGATTAGCGGAAAACAAACCCAACCTATATATTACCTTAATTAGTGAACAGTAACCTCCCTTCATATTTATATATATTAACGATTTTTTTCTTCATTTTACACTTTTCTCACTCAAAATTCTGACTTTACTGATTTCAGCGATAAGAATTTCAAGCAAAGGAGCCTGTGAATCAAATTATACATGATGTTAATAGCTGTGAATCAAATTTCTGTTTGTTGTTTTATTAATGAATGTTTATTAGCCAATTTTCTTCCTTCTGTTCTGCTCTTGCTCTGCCTCTCTAGGTCACAGCCTGTAAAGCTTAAAAGGCAATGGAAATTGTAAGGAGGGACCAATTCTAATTAGGACGATTTTTGTGTTTTCATTTGCCTTCTTCTGTTCTCCTCCTCCTCCTCCTCCTCCATGGTCAGAGCAAAGGTCCTGTCGACCAGTGAGTTCTTTTTGTTTTATGTACCAGCTGAAAACAAATATATATTAAATGATTGACAAAAAAAAAAAAAAAAGGAAAGGAGAACGACAACATTATTCACAGGGGAGGCTAATGAAGCAAAGTAATGGTAGTGAGACATATATCTTGATACTATTATCAATTCTGTGGCAGATCGATTCAGATAAGTTATTTGAATGATTCATACGAGCATGTGTATTTTAAAGAGAATACACTTGAAATATTGATTTTTTTTTTTCATTTATAAGTTGGGAAACAAACTAGACATGATCAATACAGTTAAATTATTGAAGAAGTTGAGTTTGTTTATCACATATTTACAACTTTATAATATCTAACATATGATGTAATAAAACTAAAATTCTAAGTAATTTGAGTAAAATCACATATAATTTAGGATAAACGTACACATTACCTATCTCAAAATAAATTAAATAGAGCAAGTGAGATCAAAATTGTCATATCTAACAACAAAGAGGCATGGAATGCAATGACCCATTATTTGTTTTCCACTTTTCTTGACTTTTTACATTACTATACAGTATACACAAGTCCCTCTCATCCAGTCATCCTTGAAACATTCAATTGTCCTGTTGACTGCCTTTGTGAAGTGAAACCTTACCTGAATGTTATCAACCCGATGAAAGTGAACTTTGAAGCTCTCCTCCAACCAATATTCATGCCTTTATACATTTCTGATTTTCTTCATAAGAGAGTGAAAATGGCTTGGTACATGCATTTAATTGAAGCAGTAGCATACTGCATATTATATACCCTCAATCCTCATCCACCATGTAGGTTTACATGGAGCAGCTGATCAATGGCTGGGAAGCCTATAAATCTCAATTGAATATGTTGGTTCACTTCAATAAATGCAAACATGTATATCACACTTACATTTCCTACCTTTTGCCAATGTTATAATTAGGGCTGCAAATGTGCCAACCTGCTCGCAAGCTGCTAGGCGCTCGGTTAGGGAAAAGCTCGTTCCACACTTGGCTCGTTTACTAACAAGCCGAGGTTGAGCTAAGCCTTATTCGGCTCGCAAGCTCGAGAGTCAGCTCGATTCAGTGGCTTGTTGAGCTCAACTCGTGAGCTAGTTCATTTTGAGCTATGATCTGACTCAACAGTGTGGCTAGCAAAGCCACCGTAACTTGCGGCTTATGAGTGAATTGATTTATAGTTTAAGAGTTGGTTTGTTGATAATTTGTAGTTTTGTTAGATTATGCATCTCACTACATGTAACGTTTAAAGCTTTCATGAGTACATGACCAAATATTTCTCATTTATAATTTAAAAGAGAAAATATGTCTGGGTTGTCCATATACTAATTATTATTAAATGACATGATATGAACAATTGAAACTAATTAACTAAATAATCTGATGCTTGAGATTAAACCGATCTCAATTAGAGCTCGTGGACTCATTAATGACTCGAACTCGAACTGAGCTCGACTTTTTATTAACGAGCTGAGCTCAAAGTAGATCGAAACTCAACTCATTTGCCGCCATAATTATATAGTGATCAATTCTTTCCCCCATGTAGAATATTAGGGTTGATAAGTGGACCAACTCTCAACTAAAAAGTTCAGAAATGTCATACTAATGTTTCACCTATATCTAGCAAATTGAGAAGCATACCTAACAAATATGAGAATGATTATGATTGCAGAGAGCAATGGGGAAACACAAAATCATCATATTATTATCTGTTAATATATAATAGTAGTTGAGATATCAATATCAATTATCAGACTTGTCTTCCCATGCATGTACATATTTTAGTTTCTGATAGTACCTAGCAATGATGTTCTCTGTTATATTGTACTGAACACTGCACCATTTGTTATCAGTTGTTAGGACTTAGGGATGTACA